AAAAAAATATAAAAACATTCCTACAAACGAAAAACTACAATAAAAAAAGAGTTATTCACCATAATGAAAAATGGTTTTCCAAATAGTTTTTAACCTCCTTGCACAACAAAATATCAAATGTAAAAACCATATAAAACAAATGGTCTGGAATTGTACAAGAAGTGAACAAATTACGAGCCAAGTAAAGTTTTTAGGGAAATTTGAGACTACAAAGTAATAAAACCTTTAAATCAAAAATATTTTAAAAATGTAAAATATAACGCACCTGACAGCAGACTTGGGGATGGAGCCATACAGCAGCACACTGAGTCCTCGGTATAGACCAAAGAACCCATGGCTTTGTACAGTCTTCTTGATACAGTCAACAATTCCCGAGTAACGTTTGGCACCTCCTTTCTCATCTAGCTGCAGCTGTGTTTTTACATATTCTGTAGGGAAGGTAATGCAGATTTCAATACCACCTGTAATACCCCCTGAAACAACAAATTACAATTCAAATCTAAATAGTTTAAACATGTTGACATTTAGTTCCTAATAATTACACAGACTTGCAGAAATGTAGCGTAACCACTTGTTATTTCCTCCTCCTCTGCTTGAGACCATATCATAATGGATAAGATGTGTCATAATTGGTATACGCCTATATAATCTTGTAGGGCTGTATGGCTATTTAAAATGTAGGCTATACAAACTTCCAAGACGGAAATACTACTGTCCTTTTGATTAGAAAAAAATTCTTTGATGTATTAAGAAAGTTGTAGGCCTAATGTATTCTTTTTGTAACATCTTCTATAGTGGGCCTAGCAAGCTGGTATTGTGGCCAACGACAAGACTTAAGTCCCCCGAGGTCCTGGATTCAAATCCCACCAATAACCAACAAAACGATCTTCTAAGTGATAATGTTCAACCATCTAGGCCTAGCATGAAGTAATGTGTAAATACTCCCGCCGCAGCAAACCTGCCGACTAAGCGAATTACCATTTGTCTGAATTGATTTTCATTTAAATCTAGGCCTATTTAAATAACATTAGGTTTATAACGAGAGTACCTATGGTTGCTGCAACAAGGAAACTAATAAAGTGTGTTTTTTTTTAGTAAAATATCAATAGCTTAGTACAAGATAAATAAATTTTCCAAGTTTGAACAAAATATATCCATAAACAAGCAATCTACAGTAGAATCTTGATTGACCTAAACCGGCCACGGCAAGGTCGGATAACACGGAAAATGAAAAAAACCACGTTCGTGCTGGAGTTGTTATTGCGGGATGAGTTAGCGATCACTCCGCAAACGTTGGACATGTTGAAGATGGTGCCTTGATCGCGGGAGATGTTGACGATCGCGCCGTGAGCGTTGGACATGTAGACAATGCTTCCGTATTCGCGGGAGATGTTTGCACTGGCGCTGTGACCGTGGGAAGAGTTGGCGACCGAACTGCACCTAAGGGACAGGATCCGCTTGAAGTAGGTAATTTGGTCTGGTTGGGTTGAGAGATAACTTACTGCAACTAACTTTGTAGGCTACCTACTTCATATGTTCTTTACAAAAGTAACTTACACTCTAGCTGAGCATCAGCATAATGGTTAGAAGCTTAGCCAAGACGGAACATTTGTTTTGATAATGATGTGAAGGCCATGTAGCAAAGGTCCTAACGCCATAAACTTTATTGGGGGAAAAATATGAACAAAGATCAATGGTTTGACTTATTACGAGACAAATAAGTTTATTTAGGCCTAACCCTTACCAGCGATGATTCCTTTAAATCCTGTTCCTGAGGCTGGAGCTGCAGCACCATATTCTCTCATCCATGGTCTGAGATAAGGGCCTTTGAAAGTGTTGGGATTTGACATAGTCATCTCTTAGTTAAGTACAGTAACTTATTCAGGCAATCCAATACCTTTAAAGTGTGTAATAGTCCTCAGAACTATTGAGAGTTCAAATTAATGTAGCAAAAAATACACTTTGCGTTCTAGATTGGGTTAATTTAACTTATATAGTCCATGATGAAAATAAATACAATTAAAAAATGACTACTAGAACTTAACTTTTTTGTATTCAGTATTCACCAACAGTTCCGTGATTCAAGGACTTTAAACACTGTTCACTTTCACTAAATTTATAAATAAACTAGGCCTTCACTTTAAGCTCGGTTACTTCACTTTTTAATTTTATTATTATTAAATTAATATCTGTCCACCTAACAGACAGAGAGTAAGTAGCTAACTAGTTGTTCATCAGTTGTTGTTAGGACTAGTAAATGACACAAAAATTCAGTCTTGTGAAGGCTCAAGTCTTCGGCGTCAGTGTCAGTGAAGTGTCAAAAGTCCGTCGCCTTCGTCTACAAGTCTGACTGACTTTGACATTGACAAACACCAAATGGGAAAAAGAGCAAAGCTAGTAAACTGACTAAAAATGTTAATTTCATTTTCATCCAATCATCATCTACAATATTTTGTTTTGATGTCATCGAGTTTTTCACAGAGTATAGTATATGAAAGGAGGTGGGATATAATACTATACACAATATACATGGGATTATGCATGCGCTATGATACGCAACTAATTTACGGCTAAAAAGGAAAAGAAAGGACCTGGTCCTAACATAGCCCTGACGGGGGTTCAGCTTCCTGTCAATCACGATATGATAGCTCGTTTTTCGTGTCTAGTTTATGTCCGGTGACACCGATCGCTAGTGTCCACAATATTTTGTTCCTATTATTTTGGGGTTAATTTAATGATTTGTGCTTTACTGTTTGGTTATATAACTATTAATGGAGTTATTGTTTATGATTATCGTTTTATTTTGGTCAAATAAGGTATTAAATTACTGAAATAACAATAAACAAATTGTTGGCAAAAACACGACCTCTACAGTAGGCTACACCGGACAGAATTCAAATTCAAAACTTCTTTAATTGTTTCATGTACAGCAATACAACTAACAATAAAGTTGGCTTCAGCTGTTCTATACTGATTAAAAGTCTTCTAAAAGGAGTAGGCTTAAGCCTATGTTTTATCTATTAACCATAGCATCGTGTAACCGTAGCAAGCAGACTATTTTTCTAATACTTTTCCCAATTCAAATCCTAAATTCCTAAATATTGCTAATATCCAATCCCATTCCAATTCCCATTACTATACTGTACCTCTTTTGTTTTGGACGTTTTGGTTTCAGATTCAGAACAGACGTTTTAGTTTTGGTCGGTCGAGTGTTCCACGCTTACGTTTATGTAAGCAAGCATAGCATGTCGATGTCAGTCAGTTGTTGAACGTTCTGTAGTTATATCTAATGCAATATGCATTTTCAGTGTAAACTGAACGAATTCTACCATTTTAATATCTAATTAGTAAATACACTTTTTTACAAAATATGTACGCTAAAGGAAAAACGACAACAGTACCTTCGGATGCTCAAGCTCGAGAAAAGTAAGGAAATGAATCACGTCATTCTTGTTTTGTTAAGGTTATGTTTAGTTTACTTACATGTTAATAGTCTTTTTACCAACATTTTGTCTAAACTAACTAATAAGTTAGAAGCTAGTAATATTAAATATCTGTTTACGTCTCATCTCATAATTACATTCCTTTTAAAACTGCTTAAAACAATTGTGCCCTTGCACCATAAACAAGTTTATTGAAGCCCATAACGGTGTTTTAGAATAAATGTTCTGGACTTCACGTTTTCAATTGGGAATGATGAAGTGCAGTCACTTATAATACTTGAAAATATTTATGCAAAGTTTGATAGGAAATAGCTTTCAAAGGATCCCACTGACAATATAAAAGGACCATGGCCCCTTTGTGTGCCAGGAGATTGTAAACAATTCCCTAACGTCAAAGTTTGTGAACTTAATACCAGCCTAACTTTTTATATTATTTAAAATGGTTGTTTTAGCATGACCCCAGAATTTATTTTAACTTACTTCCTCGAGTTAGCCTGATCATGTAAGTTCTTTAAATGGTAATTCTGAACATTTAACTTACTTGGTCAACCAAATTTTTTTCATATTTTACTACGGTCATCAGGATGTTCTCCGAAAGCAAGAAACATATAATTCAAGCCCTGCAAGGTTAAGTTAGGTTAGGTTTAATTAACCTAACCTAACATACGGTACTGTCACAATTGGCCTTAGAGATGTGTGAAAATAAAAAAACATAATTCTATTCCAACAGTTAAACGTGTGTTTTTCTTCATTTAACCCCATCGACCCACCACATTAAGGACACACTTTGCTACGTTGCAAAACGCTGTGTTTGTAAAGAAACGTGTTAACTTTTCCTGATCTTCACTTACAACCGTGAAACTAAGTATCGTGTTCTCACATCCGTCACATAGAAAAGGATTATCGGACGAACCACTAGCCATAGCCATAACGTGCTGTCACAACTGGCCTTCCGCACGTCTCCCGCAAGCCACTGTTATCGCTTGGACTTTGAACCTTCTTATCGCTCGGCAACCTGTACGATGGCCTTGCGGGGCTTGAATTATATGTTTCTTGCTTTCTGAGAACATCCTGATGACTGTAGTAAAATACCGTATGAAAAAAATTGGGGTTGACCAAGTAATTGCTCAGAATTGCCGTTTAAATTTAAGATTTAAGTTATTGAGCCGTTCGGTCATTGACTAAATATTGGACAAGACACTAAAACTAAGTACTGTACAAAAAAAGAAATAACCTATGCAATGCATTCCTCTTGCCTTGCAAACAAAAAGTCCAAAGAGCACACCATGCAAAAATACAATAAATGAAACTGTAGCCTATAAGTTAGCATGCAGAGGAGAAAATGTAAAATTTAACAAAACAGGAAAAACGCTTATTTGTTACCCGATGTATTTTTTCATTGTTAAGATCTTTTGAAGTACCGTAGGCCTCAATAAAATTTTACTAAAAAAACTGTATTCATGTTAACTTGCTCTTCTGTTCTTCAATTAGGGTGCAGCTACCATACTATCGATTGAAAATATCAAAGTTTAAACAATCGATACATATATTATCTAACAAAACAAAGAACACACGTCTCGTAACCGAACGTGTATTAGGCGTCCGGCTGTGACGTCACCGGGTTGTGGAGGCCTGGAACACCATTACCACATACGATGTACTGCCGTTGGTTGTTCGTAGTGTAGCGGATAGAGTACTCGGCTGATGTTCAAGAGATACTTAGATTGAATCCCATCGGTGACTGTTAGGCTGAGTCTGCGTGCAGTATGGCAATTTTCAAACTATAGAAGTGGTTAAGCTATTTTTAACTACCCCCACCACCTCAATTTGCCCACAAAACATCTGTTTACTGCTGTCAAGTGAGTCCAGTGACCACAGAATTAAATTTAAATTTTTTTTATTCTGTGGTCGCTAAATGAGTCAGTATTGAGTTTAGCTCTGACTTTATAGCAGGCCCACTCACTCGACACTCAATGGTTTAGTTGAACACAGTGTTGCCAGATTGACCGGCGTAAATTATCGTACAAGCAGTCCAAAATTATTGTATTTGGGGCAAAATGATTGAACACACAATTTTTTTGATATTATGATGTAAAACGAGCAAGTCGATGATGAAATCACCGAAATTTAACTCTATTTGTCTCTGTCACCCACCTATATATATATTACGGCCGTTTCGGCATCAAAATGCCATCCTCAGATACATACATCCACCGGATTTGGCGTCGTCAAACTTGATACACACACGTAACACGATAACAAACATTTAAAACATAAAAAACGAAAGACAGGCCTGTCGCGCACATGATGAGTACGTGTACGGAAGCTGACTGGACAACTGCTAGTTCGTTCCAGCCGTTGCGGTATTATCTCTTGGACTTTGATCCCTTGGCTTGCTTCGTTTGATGATGTTATTGAAAATAGTGTGAGATTTAAATTGTAGTTGGTAATTTAGTATGGATTCATTGTTGTATTTTATTTTATGGGCTTTATAAATCTCATATTCCTCAAGGGTGTCTAGTCTATTTCCATTCATACAGGCGTGCAGAATTTCTAAGCCATTGTCCAAATCAAGTAAGTCGTGATTATTGTCAACCAGGTGTTGTGCGAAAGTGGATTTTTGTTTGTCAGTTTTTCCGTTAGGGCGATGTTCTTTGTATCTAATGCTAAAGGAACGTCCTGTTTTTCCGATGTACGTACTCGGACAACTAGCGCATTTTATTTTATATACACCTGATTGGTCAGCTTTATTTTTATTAATCTTAGGTTTTAACTTATTTATAACTTTATTGCTGGTTCTGAAATCTAATCTGTTATCAATCTTTGCTATTGTGATGTCCAGGAAATTTATTTTACTTGATTGCTCAGTTTCCATAGTAAACTTCAAATTAGGCGCTATATTGTTGAGGAACTTGTGCAAAAGGTCGAGCTGTCTTGTGTTACCCTTGAAAATAAGAATGGTATCATCAACATAACGGTGATATTCCATTATCTTGTTTTTCTGTTTGTTTAGGTCAGAGAATATATACTTATTTTCAATATGGTTCAGATATACGTTGGCGAGTAAACTTGATAAAGGAGAGCCCATTGCTAGGCCAGTTGGTTGATTGTAATATTTATCATTGAATTTGAAATAATTTTGTCTGAGTATTTCTTTTAACAAAGTTAGTAATTCAGTAATCGCTTCAGGTAGTAAACTCGAATCTTTGTTGAGGTGGTCTTTGACTATGTCTAGAGTTTGGTCGACAGGGACATTAGTAAAGAGATTGACTATGTCGAATGAAACTAGTAAATCATGAGGGTTTACTTGTACATTTTTGGCTTTGTTGATGAAATCATAGGTGTTGATTAGGCTGTAATTATTATGTAGAACTATTTGTTTGCTTAATATATATTCAAGTTTCTGCCTAAAGAATGAGTTGAAAAAGCATGGAATTAAACTTGCTTTCAGAACCAGCAATAAAGTTATAAATAAGTTAAAACCTAAGATTAATAAAAATAAAGCTGACCAATCAGGTGTATATAAAATAAAATGCGCTAGTTTTCTGAGTACGTACATTGGAAAAACAGGACGTTCCTTTAGCATTAGATACAAAGAACATCGCCCTAACGGAAAAACTGACAAACAAAAATCCACTTTCGCACAACACCTGGTTGACAATAATCACGACTTACTTGATTTGGACAATGTCTTAGAAATTCTGCACGCCTGTATTAATGGAAATAGACTAGACACCCTTGAGGAATATGAGATTTATAAAGCCCATAAAATAAAATACAACAATGAATCCATACTAAATTACCAACTACAATTTAAATCTCACACTATTTTCAATAACATCATCAAACAAAGCAAGCCAAGGGATCAAAGTCCAAGAGATAATACCGCAACGGCTGGAACGAACTAGCAGTTGTCCAGTCAGCTTCCGTACACGTACTCATCATGTGCGCGACAGGCCTGTCTTTCGTTTTTTATGTTTTAAATGTTTGTTATCGTGTTACGTGTGTGTATCAAGTTTGACGACGCCAAATCCGGTGGATGTATGTATCTGAGGATGACATTTTGATGCCGAAACGGCCGTAATATATACGGAAACTACGGAGCTGTGACGAGGTAATTGTACAATTATATTATAGTAAAGTGATGTTACTGTTTTTCCATATATTACAATGGGAAACATTTTTTAAATGTATATTTATCAATATGAAATAGATTATTTTCTTAACACCGAAAAATAATCGTACTTTATGACAAAAAATCTTACACAACATCAAAATTATCGTACAATTTTGCAAAATTATTTTTTATGGGGAAGTAGCAAAAGTATCGTAGGCCTACAAATACGATAATTATCTCAGACCTGGCAACACTGGTTGAACAGTTGACTCTGTGTTCTTTGTTGAATTGTCTTGCTGTGCGTGAATCTACACTTATTAAAATCAGTTTTAAAAAGTTATTATTATTATTTAAAGTTTATTCTGGATATTGCTTTATATTAATTTAATTATTTTGTTACCTTACAATATCTTGTTTAGTGTTGGTAGATAACTACCTACATGTTTCGTGGCGACTGCCACATCCTCAGGTTTATCCTCTTCTCAGATTCGTCATCAATTTAAAGCATAAAACACAGAACACACGTAAAAACACGTTTATTTTGGTACCGTTGCTCAAGTCGCCGCCGGCCCGACCAAACGCGTGCACACATCGTGACGGTACCAAAATGAATGTAATGTGTTTTTTTACGTGTGTTCTGTGTTTTATGTTTTAAATTGATGACGAATCTGAGAAGAGGATAAACCTGAGGATGTGGCAGTCGCCACGAAACATGTAGTTATCTACCAACACTAAACAGGATATTGTAAGGTAACAAAATAATTTAATAGGAAATTTAAGATCTCAAATACGAAAATATGGGGTCTTAAATTTTGAAACCTAGTAGGCCTACAATATTAATATACAATACCGAACGTACTGAAAAAATTAAACCCCCTGTTATATTCAGGGGGTATTAGACCTAGGGGTTGCGGCATTATCACTTCGATAAAATCCATTGTTGACTTGGCGAGGATCGAACACGGGACCTCAGAGACTGAAGTCCCGTGCTCTAACCACTACGCAAGCTCGCTCCCCCCTACATACATATATAAGCCTATAGCAATATGAACCCCCTCCCCGTACATATGCCTATTCCTGGCTACACTACTGCATGCTATAGTAAAGAGATAAAAAAAGGCAATTGGATGTAAAAATGTGGTACACATTTAGTCTTCCTGCAAGGGCACTGTAGACAGTATATTCTAATGCCAATATACATCATATTTAAAAAAATTTAAAGATCTGTGCTAAAAGAAATGGAACTTTGAACACACTAATAGAAAGTAATGGAATTAAAAGTCTAAAAGAAAAGAAATAAAGCAGAACCTAGCAATAAGCCATCCAAGAAGATAAGGTGGACACAGTAATAGAGAACAACGATGATGATAGCATATTGGAGTAAACGAAAGTTAAATTGACGGTAACAGAAAATGTCGTACACTTACTATGGACGATTCTACTCTTCACTTTTACATGTTTTTTGTATGTTTTTACCACTTAAAAAGCCTGAGTAAAGTCTTGATAGATTTTAATTGTATGGTAACTTTATAAATAACATCAGAGATACTCAATTAAATTAATAGTCATATTGAATGAGATAAAAACTGTGTTATTAACTCAAGCTTCTACCCTTTATACCCATAGGCAGCATGGGTATAACGTAGGCCTAACTAATAGCATCTATGTAGCTAAAGGCTAGGTGTGCTTTACTTCTCAAAATCTCAAAAAAATTACCAATCGACCATAAATCTAAAAAATTACCAGATGATAAATTTGTAAAAAATTACACAGAGTTCAAAATGAGTTATAAATCTTTTCCGATTAACAAAATTTAGTGTTAATAATATTAACTTACAGGTTATTAAAAATATCTCAAAAGAAATCCTTATGTCCAGCTGCAAATAGGCTAGTAGTATAGTGTTTAAAGCCGCGTTTACACCAAAGTCTTCCACTAAGTTTTCCACTAGTTGCGGACACTTGTTACTTTTTCTACAAAATGCGATGACTTTCTGTTGTCCACTAGTGGAGGGAAAAGTTGTCCACTAAATTTTGGTTTCCCGCGGAGAGTCGGTAAAGATCAAAGAACGTTTACAACAAAAAGTGGGAGACTAGCTGCTACACGCTTTGCGCAAGCAACTTGTGGAAAACTAGTGGAGAACTATTCCCCCCCCTCCACGTACCCCGCGTGTGAGGCCTTTATGACTTTCCTGAAGTTAGTATCATTTTTCTTGACTTTATGTCCGATCATAGAAATTGAATATTCAAAATCAATACTTGTCATTCTCAGCAAGCTTTTTACGCTCCCGTTGCACCTCAGCTCACCATTCAACGGATCGACGTCATCTTCTCGGAGATCATCCAGCATGTCACTGCCATTGTACCTATCCCTAGCCATCAACAAGGTCTCACCCAATATCTTCGCAGACCTCTTGTATAGAGGCTGGCTATAATTACACAAGCAGCCGCGGCATAGATTGCGTCTTCTTCGTCCGACGATATCCTTGACACTACTGTGTATAACTGTAGTGATCATTTCGTGCCAATAATTTGGCAACAAGTTTTCCACTAGTTGCTCTAAATTAATGAGGAGCAACATTTAGTTGTAAACTTTTAGTTGTAAAGTTTTGGTTGTAAACTTTTGGTTGTCAACTTTTGGTTGTCAACTTTGGTGTAAACGCGACTAAAAAGTATAGTTTATTAATTTGCCGTGATCAATCCAACAACTTGAAATTAAACTATACTGTCCTATATGAAAGGAGTTGGCTATTCTTATTTTTAAATGTAATTTTTACTTTGTGATAAACACTAAAGTAACTTTAGAGTACAGTTTTTGAATAGTGCTTTGAATTAAGCCTCATTACCAAGATCAACTTTTAAATAGTTGTTCCTTAGAGAACTTTTTCTTTCTGGCCAATTTAGATGGTACTCTGGGAATGTTGATAATCATTGATTTTTGTTGTTGTTACAGATTGGCGCTATATGTATATGAGTATCTCTTGCACGTTGGAGCGCAAAAAGCTGCTCAAACCTTTCTATCTGAGGTAATATGCTGCATATACTAATAATGCTGGGCCTATGACTAATTTTAAGTGTGCAAGGCTTCAAAATCGTTTCATAACAAATTTAGCATTATCAGAAGGCTCTAAAATTTGAATATCAAAATGTGAATATAAATTAAACATACAATAACCAAGTTCTTGTTACAAATAACCAAATCACAAATACCCATTTGGAATGTTTGAAGCTTTGTTTGGTACTTGGTTTGCGATGGTATCTGATAAATGCTAAGGGCTCAATTTGAGGACGAACACGTTGGAACAACACTCTTGGACAACTCTTAAGGAAATGTACATTCAAATTTTAAACAATTTTAAAGGAAGACTTCTAAATAAATAATACTGCGTTTTGTTTTACAGCTGTTTGGTTGCTTTATGTTCCTACAAAGTAATGTTTTTGGAGTGACGGAACTCCTGTAAGGCTGGGGCCACACATCGTGGTTTGGTGGTGTTAGTAATCACCGCGCGATTGAACCATTTCCTTTTGGGTTTCCTACCCTACGTCTAGGTTCATTTCACTCACAGTAGTCATGGTAGCTTAACAAACTGATGTTAACTTGTGCGTTAGAAGCGTGTGGTGACGTGGAACCAAAGATTAACATAAAACACTGGGTCTTCCTTCATAACAGATAAACCATTTGTGTTTCATGCTTTTTACAAGCTCATGCAAAACCGTAGTGTGGAGTTTTCTTGGTAATTACTGTGTATGTCAATAGCTTTGATGGACGAGCTACTTGAATTTATCCGTTCTCATATAATCAGGAAAAATACAGTCATGAGATATTCAATTAGTGCCAAAGAGCATCTGGCGTGACAGGTAAGATGCTCTTTACTCTATTATAATTAATAAATCACTACAAATGGCAGAAGAAGAGCTCACCCCATGTAGTCAAACCGTGACATCTGGTGTGTCTCATAAGACTGCTTGTGTCATCCCTCCAACGCAGTTTAGTTTGATGCATTGCAACATGGCCGCCAGGCCCCTAGCTCGCATGTCATGAGTGCCCAACCATTGATTGAGTCAGTTGTTGGAACTCGCGGCTCGACCACCAAGCAAAACCTCGTTGTGTGACCCTAGCCTTATGGTTTCATTTCCAAAATCTATAATTCTACAAATTACTGAGTATGATACAATTGAGGAACTTTTAGTTGATAAGCTAATAAACTAACTGAATAAGTATCTTAAAATATTAGGTCCATATACCCAGGGCTGCTTTTAGGGTCAGTTTAAAGCCCCAAGCAAATCCAAAAGCAGTGCCCCCATTTTTTCCTAGTGCGGGCAGGCGGTGGTTGAGGGGTACCCGGTGGGCGCCCCCAAACCTTCGGCGCCCCTGTGGGCCTGCATATACCGAGATTTAGTAAACTCACATTAGAAGGTTTAAAGCCAAACTGAATATTTAACTCAATGGTTGTGATTTGTGTTTAAAAAAATTATCTTTAGCTTAGTTAGTTCAAAGTAATCAGTAAGTGCACACATTTTTGCTGATGGTATAGAAGTATTAATATGAAATATTGAGTTTTGGTTATTAATTGTTATTGGGAATTTGTTTTTTTATTGAAAGTTACAGCTACATCAAACCAAGTTAATTTCATTACCGTAAAACGGGGCTACTTTGTAAGGATTTTTTTAATTTTCTTAATAACTTTTTTATTTATGAAGATATTTTATTGGAACAAATTGTCCGTATTTGTATAGGCTATCAAACTATGTTTAGGACAAAAATTCAGTGTTCATACCTAACAAAAATAAATTTTTGAGTGTACAAAGTAGCCCCAGGGTCGGTGCTACTTTGTAACAGTTATTACATTTCCAAATAACTCCAAGATGTTAGGCTTGGGGCTGCTTTAAAACATACTTTTGATAGCTGGGGCTATGTGGGACAATTTGTCACAACTTTTATTTTTCTATCTCTATTACTTTGGGAATTGCAGCTATTTGAAAAAAAAACCTTACGTGGGGATTATGGTACATTCTAAGGGTTTTGTAATATATACATGAAGGCAACTATATAGAATTGAAATTATGCATGCAATGTGTAGGCAAAGAGTGTTAACATAACAAAATTGATAAATGGCTCGTAAGTTACATCCTGTTATTTTTTTGTACAATCCCATTTTAGCTTGTTATTGACCACAAGACCTAAAAATCTCAACTGATTCTATTTCAATACTTTTTTCATTTACTTCCAAATTTGGGTTGACTTAAGTTGTGATTGTTCAAATGCTGATCCAAACTAGCAAGTTCTTTTAGACTTCAAATTTCTATGTCTTGTGATGAGCGACCGGATATTTTCAAACTGGCATCATTGGCATAGAGACGTAATGCGGAGGATGATTCATACGATTCAGATAGCAAAGAAACAAAAGCCACCCCAGAATTGATCCATGGGGCACATCAAATTTTATCTCTCTGATATCAGAATCATATTTAATTACCCTATGCAGTTACTGTCAGTGATGTAGTTTAGCTGGACAAATTGTTTTCTATCAGTTAGGTATGATTCAAACCAACTGATTCAAACAAACAATAGCAGCTGTTATTGTTGATTTTTGTTTCTTAAAGCCATGCTGATTACTATGTAAAATTTACTAAAAATCTACTATAAACTAATTCTGTCACTTAATGACTAACAGTAAATGAAATATGAGCGTAAAACTGTGAATACACCATGAATTTCATTTTAAAGTTTGAATGGAGATCCTGGCTGGTTTAACTTACCTATCACCTCATATCCTAGATGGAATAGGTAGTTCTGTTTTTAATGTTTACTATTATTCTACTTCGTTAAATGTTTTTTAGATACGCTGGGAAAAAAATATAACTTTGGGTGAACCTCCTGGCTTTCTTCATTCATGGTGGTGGTAAGTTTATATTTATCTAAGCCTATACTGTAGATGTATCGTACGACTTTTATCCTATTTGTCATGAAACTGCAAACATAAGCTTGTTGTTTCATAAACTTAAAACAAATATTTTAACAAAAGTGTTGTAGGAAACTTACGTTTTTTATTGAACAGCTTGGTAATCCCATAGGTAAGAGACCAGGTTAGTGTTAGATCACCCAAATTAGATTATCAAGGTTGAGGGTTTTCTTAATGGATTTGATCAAGACAAATATGACTATTATTTTCTAATGCAGTATTACACATTTGGGACAGTATAAAAACTTTGTTGAAAGAGATGCATTTTAATTTGCCAATTACTATCAACTCAGTTAACAGTTTAAAACATTCTAAATATATTAAGCTACGATAGTTTTCTACGTCTAAAATCTTTTACTCAAAATGATCACGAACCCTCAATGATTGTAGAAATGTTATATGAATTGGGAATTTGGGGTGCCCAGATGACTGGACACGTCCCATATCCTTTGTCTCTCACAATTGTGGCAACTGGTAACTGTGAGCACGTCTTGCGGTCTCAGCGTTGCTACTGATCGTCTCTCAATCGCTGTTCATCTGTGATCGTCCTTTTGGTTAACCGACGTTTCGGATTACCAGGCTTTAGAAAAAGGATTTAGGTCCCTAATTAACGCTCTATTGTACTGTATTTAATTTAAACCTCCTACATTTAGATACACATTTTTAACTATATGATTTTTTACTTCCAGTGTGTTCTGGGACCTATATTGTGCTGCTCCTGAAAGAAGGGATACTTGTGAACACTCCAGCGAAGCCAAAGCCTTCTATGATCATGACTATGTAAGATGATTCTCAAAAACTGTATTCGCCTATTAACCAAACTATTGTCCTAATGATATCAACGATGGTATCCTGGATCAAGAATTATCTGATGGAAATATAGCTAAAGATGTTAGATAGTAATTTGTCTTACAGCATTGTATTAGTTTACACAAATTAAATTGCTATCAAGTTTTATTAAATTTAAACTTTAGTATTACTCAAATCAAATCAAAATTATAAGGAAATATATTTTTCCACATAGGCATAAGCTTGTATGCAGAAAAATAGATCTTAATCTGCTATAAACAATAACTGTTTTCTAATTAGCTTTATTATATGGGGATTTACCAGCGCCTCCGTAGCCGTCCGGCTAATGCTGGCAAGCCATGTACTCACCTTTTTTTCGTAAACCGGGACACTGCTCTCCTCATACTGCAGGATTTGTGGCGGAAGATTGCGATATAACATATGGGCGATAAAACATGGGTTATTTTTAGGGAGGTTATATTTAATCTAGGAAATTGGTAACCAAAGTTGATTCTATGTCTTGTAGAATAGTTATGCTGCAAATTGGTAAAATGATATTTTTGTTTGACCTAATAAAGACTAAAAAGGAAATACAAATAATTGTTGTATATCATGAACACAAAAATCTGAGTACAGATCCTCTGTTGGATATCTCGATGGTTTGCTTAGGACGGTTTTGATAAATGACCTTTGTGCAACAGCCAGAGGCTCAAGCATAGAGGCCGAGACACCGCCCCCATGCCAGTATACCATATTGAAGCAAAGACTGCACGTAGGCAAGTAAACTGTCCAACAGTAATCCGTGGTCAGCACTCCAGCAAGTTGAGAAAATGCATATATGAGCTTTCTAAGTCGTTGTTTGAGATAATGAATGTGGTGAGCCCAACTAAATTTTTGATCAATTATAATTCCTAGGTAAGTGTACTTCTCTACCCACTCTATAACGTCACAAGTACAAGCCCCTGACCGCAGGTATGAAGAAATAGTTGCCTAGGGCTAGGGTCCTTTTCACTCTTAAAAAATATAGGCTAGGTAAACTTAGGGGGGAAATTAACTTTGTCTTCAGATTTTGTTTTAAAACATCCGTGTCGTAGTTTGCGATGAAATAGCCCTGTTTAGGCAGAGGCTACTAGCAATGATCGGCAAACGCTTGCTTAAGTCTAAGTCAAGCGAAACCTGACAACCAAGATTAGGCCTAAGTGTTTGGTGATCTTAATGTATATTTGTGTGGTGATATGGCTAAGCTACTACCAGTGCAGGATCGAGCTTTATTCATCCCATCTTATCTTTCAAATCAGTGGTATACACATGGATGTTTTGCATACGAACACATTCAAAACATTCATGCGTCAGTCCGGCGAAGATCAGTCATTTTCGCATTGCACTTACTAATATTGCTCATGGAACGATAAAAGAGGAAGATTATATTCTTTTCTTTACGATTCGTATAAATACTACCACCAAAATCGTAGAAATATGCAACGCTGTTTGTATCAGGACAAGAAAAGAAGAGGCGCTTTTGTGACTGACACCTAAATGAATTGGCTAAGCTGCATAGTCCTGTAGCATTCATTCGTATCATGGACAAACCTTCAATAGCCGCAATATTGAGTTCCAATGAATGCAAATCTTTTGGAAATATCTCCATATTAGCCTAAAGATATTGAGTCATGTAACGCCACAACCTTTGGACCGATGCAGTATTAGGTGCTGTTGGCACTGTCCACAATATTTTATACAAACATGAAGACTTCTTATCACATTTGAAAATGCTTTTATATGTAATAGTTGAATTTAGTAATTATTATAGATGACCTATCTAATAATGTGTTAGCGAATGTCCCTATTTTTAACTAAATTTTAAAACGTGGCATTTAGTGTGCCGGAAAACCATTTTTATTGACACCAGCCTTTCACAAATTCCAAGGCATGACCCTGAACCAAGCAGTTGATGATATTGGACCAAGAGAATTCAGTGCTGGGTTAAGGTGTGTTGCAGATAGCCCGTCCGAACGATATATGGACTGCTTTTCGACCCAGAATTTCCAAAAGAACGTTTGAAAAAGAAACTAGTCGAAGATAAATGTTTGGTATCACTGTTATTAGTTGGAAATGTTCACATTCATTGAAATTAATTGACCAACCAATAATGGGTTTCTCTACACAGTCTTTCGACTATTTGAAACTGTAGGTAAAAACCATTTTGGAGCTTTATGGTGAGTGTCAACTTATAATTTTTTTTTATGACTCCGCTCAATTTTGTGGGCGCGTCTGCGAACACTACCTAGTTTAATTAATGCTTACTTTTTCAGGGATTTGTCAACTCAGGCTACGGCGTCAATGGCATGGGACATGTAAGTAGGCTACATATCCTGTGTTACAATTATTTTACCTAAAAATAATTTTTTTTGTTACACTTTTCAATCATATTGTTTGGAATAAATAATACTATCTTTTGTTGTATATCATGTATCCATCAAAAATTCAATATCACAATTAATTTTTGGCTAATATTTGATAATTGTGTACATGCTATACATTTTTCTTCCTAGAGAACTAACAGTGAATGCGTTGGCATTAGGTAGGTTTAGCCATAATGGTCAACCCTTCCTTAAGAATAAGTACCTATCGGTCGATACTTTCTTGTATTCATTTAATTTTATAAGTTTTTTTTTAAGTGATGTATTTTTAAATCATAAGGGGGCAGTGCAAATACTTACTAGTATGAACCACAGGCCTAATTGTGTATCAATATTTCCTCTAGGTATAGTGACTAATCTTTAAAAATCATTATTTTTATCCCATTTTATATAGCATCACTAAACTAACTAGCTACCTGAATGGTTAGACTTTTATTGGTTATAAAATAACAATAAGTCTCATCTTCAAATTTACTTGTGCAATAACCCACGATGGTTATATGAGATTAGGTTACTTTACTGATGCATAATATTTGCTGGTTGTTTCCGAATAGGTTTGCTTCTTCGTTTGACCAAAGACCACTTTTTTGTGGTTGATAACCTTACCATGCTGGATAGGATTCCTTATAGAGATCTACCATCTGAACGAAATAGACTCTGGTTTTTTTTTACGAGGTTACTCCTCCTTCCTGTCATTTGCAAGACGGGGAACCTTTAGAACATGATAGAGAGGTTCGGAAGGTTGAGGCAAGAAAATGTGGTTTTTATTTGTCTACCATTAATTGTTAACCTATAAAAAATGAACTGAACGAGTCAGTAGGATTGAAAATGTTTCATTTATACAGAATGCTGGACCATCGCCCAATCCTATGGGACAAATGCCACCAAATGATCACATGGGCCCTGGATTTTTCCCTGTAAGTAGATGTTAGTGGTATACACACTGATTATTTTTACAATATAACTTTAAGTTAAGGTTATAAGACCTAAAAGATATTTAGGTCTTTGGTTAATAATAAGTTGCTACTCACTCGCTATTTGCGTTATTCCTTTTTTTAACCCTTCATAGGTGAGACCACGGAGTTTTCCTCCAGGCACATTTATTTAATAGACGAATATATCTTATTGCTAGCCGGCAGTTTTAAAGGTAACAGTTTCTGACGTGCCTCTTTCTATGAACCGATTAAATGTTATTTTGTTCTGACCCATCCCCCGCACTAACGTTTGGTGGATTCCCATGGTTTAGTTCCGTGAGTCACATATGGTGTCGTTTTTGTTTGCTATAAATTTTTTTTTTATTTGTCTTGTAAGAGTTTTGTGTTGATTTCATGTACAGTTTTATTGATTATACTTGGTTTTAATATATGTATAAAATTACATTGTTTGTTTGTTAAGTGTTTCAGTATTGAGAAAAACATTCCTTGTGTCACTAAACGTGTTTTAAAATCAAAGACGCCCACAAAGTGTCAACAAACTTATGTTTGAATAATGTTATCCTTTTGTCTAAGTTGGGATGAAAATTAATTTGGTTGTTGTTTTTAATAACTGTACAAATGTAATAAAATAAGTAGCGTCTACACGTTTTGATTATGTACACTTATACTGCAAATATTAACAAGACATTTTTGGCCTAGAATCGTATATTTAGTTTCAAACTTTAACACCATTATTAACTTAGGTATGTAGCCTACGTATGTACCGTTGATGTCACCAACATTTTGAACCCCGGTAATTAGATATTGAGAAATTGATAAACATGTAATTCCAATGTTTAACTAAAGATATACATAAAAATATATACAATAGGCCTATAGTTATTTTATTGATTTGTAAAATCAAGAAAACATTGTTTGGCCAAATGATTGCTCTCGGGATAACCTTGTAGCCAAAAAGGTCACTCTTCAAAATTCCAGACTAATATTGCAGACCAGCAACACCAGAGAGAGCATCAATAAAACAGTTTAAGTTCCCTCAAAATGTGCAAGCAATTTAAAATTCTAAACCATAATTCCTTACATTAGATAAGGGGAGAGTTGAACCCAAGCCTTAAATTGTAAAAAAGTAAAGACAGCAAAATTAGTTTAAAAGTGATTTAAATTTAAGAAATTAATTTTAAACTTACAAATACATTTTAAATTTTAGCCTTTCATGGGACCACGCTATCCGTCAGGACCTCGCCCTGGTGTTAGGATGCCTCAAATGGGAAATGAATTCAATGGCGTAAGTATACCAAAATAAAATTCCATCTTTAGTTGACTATATCTAATATCACAACTGCACCACACATACTCATACAGTAGAACCTTGATAAGACGTGTCTCAAGTGGATTAGGAAAATAATCTTGTTACCGAGGTGCTCTTTTGTTGAGTTTCGTATCATCAAGGTCATTTCGGCTAGCAGTCGTGTCATCAAGGTTATTTAAAGCTCCGAGTATCTTTGTAATGAGTGAATTACAGAATTTAAGCGAACGCATATTTGCTTTCAAATTATAATGTACGCGCATAATGCACATACATAATCCCTTAAAATTACAAAAATACCTAACCTCAAAATTACATAATATAGTTTTGGAGTTGGCCTAGAACACTCTCTTTGATAAAAATCTGTTCTTCCAATGATAAATTTCAAAAAAATATTTATTTTACATTTTTAATAATATATTTCTGTAAACTATATAATTGAAATATAAATTAACACCATAATTATTCTAAAACATGAACACTGCTGGTTACATTTCAGCATTTCATAGCCCTAACACTTTACTTTATTGACAACAACACAAATCTACTTACGACACTGATTGAGGTTGCGTAGTGAGTGACACACAGTGAACTAGTAAAGTGAAGTGACATATAAAAAGTCACTAATGTCACCCATCCATGTGATGTGTGTGTTGTATCAACCAATGAGAGCGCTCAGAGATGCTTCTAAGGCAGCTCCCCATAAGCTTTGCAGGGATTAAAGCGACCTCCCCTGCACCGGCACCATTTGTAGGGCAAGGTAGGAGCTGCGCAGCTGGCAGCTCAGCTCCGAGTGTTTGTGCTTAATGCCGCACTCAGACTGCAGGCGCTACAGTTACGCCGATGTATCTTCTTTTAGCGTCTCATGTTAAAACTTACTAACTAATAGACCATGATATACTGAGTATAAACAGGTGTTATCATTGTTGTTTGTGCTCTATTTCATTGGGGGTTCACTTGCTCATGTGTTCCTATGGACGAGCAACCACTGCTTGTAAGCAGGTACACATTTATACATATAGTCTCTTTACGATACACAATACGACATAAACTGGAATAATCAAAATCTGTACTGTAAAAAACAACTTCCTGGTCATTATTAAGCCTAAAGACACCTCTTTTCCAACTCAAACCTTCCTTGGCACAGAATACTGCCAGTGACAGTGAACTTTTCTTCCTTTTTTCCCCTAACTTTTGTTTATAATGTAAAATTTTTTTTTGCCAGATTGGACTCTCCTATTCTTTTAAGCCTGCTGTCCTGAAGAAAATCCTTACAACTAAGCCCTTGTGCCTTATATTACATTCTTAACATGTTGTGTTACATTTGTTATGTTTAATTATGTTACATTTTAGCGAATTTCCCTATAGGGAAGTAGCTATTACCGTAGGTGGCACGGTAAGACCTAGACCCGGGACCGATTTACTTTTTCATTTTGACGATCCCAGAGGCCAAAAACACCATTCGTTCAAATTTTTATATATGTATATATATATATATAGACTTATATATATACGTCCGTGAACGCGATAACTTGAGTAATTTTTGTCCGATTTTGATGAAATTTGGTTTAAAGGTGTAAAGCGGGATAAACTTGAATGAGTTCGCGAACCAGCATGATCGGACCATGGGAACGGGGCTTTACGGGGGGTTTTATGGGGTAAAAATTGGTTTTTCTCACTTTTGACCCTCAAAACACAAAATTTCCCAATTTCTCTTTAGACCTTTTTAAAGAGCTTCAAAAAACAATTAATTTAGTATATAAAAGTATTTTTGTTCAATTATTAGTAACGGAGAAAATTAAAAAAAAATTTAAATTTAAAATTCCCATGTTATTCTTATGGAGAATATTGTCAAATGTTGTAGTTTGCTTGTTTATGGATATATTTTGTATTTTGATCAAATTTATTTATTTTGTACTAAGCTATCAATATTTTACAAAAAAACACACTTTATTAGTTTCCTTGTAGCAGCAAACCTACTGGTTAAACCTAATGTTATTAAAATATATTTAATTGAAAATCAATTAAGACAAATGGAAATTCGCTTAGTCGGCAGGTTTGCTGCGGCGGGGGTTTTTAACATGTTATTGTGTTGATTTGTTTAAAGACTTAACAACCATCTCCAGGTTATAGTGAGTTTTAATGATATACATTTTAATTTGTGGGAGTTTTAAGTGTTTTTTTTTTTTATTATTTCACAGCCTCCTGGACAACCCATGATGCCTACTGGGATGGACCCGACAAGGGCAGGTAGGTTTGACTTTTTCTTTTTCCTTTTTACATTGGAAGTTTTTTTGTTGTATTTAACTAAAATCTTGAATATATCAACACTGATTAATGCTCTGTTGAATACTGGATAACGTGAGATCAACATTTGTTACTTTTCACAGTTTTACACCCTCAATTTGAAATCAACTACAAATCCCAAGTAATATCTGTTCGGTCAATTGGGTTGTCTGTAAATTAATGTCTCCGTTAAGCTCTCGTTGCAGCTAAGCAAGATAGTCCAAATTGGAGATAAGTGTCGTATTCCTTTCTTCATCACTACTATTCTAGCTGGTTTCTCACCCTATAAAGAAGACGAGTCTAGTTTTAGTATTCAAAAACGTTGTAAAAAAATTGAAGTTTCCACCAAGTACATTCTGTTACTATTGCCAGTTAACTGATGAGAATGCAAATAAGTGTTTGGACGTAGAAAATGAACATAAATAGCTTAGAGAGTTTGCCAAAGGCCGTTCACGTTTGCACAACGCGGCTGACAATGGGTGTTCCATCATCGGTTTCTATTGATATATTGATCTTATTTAAGTAATCTTTGTTTGCTGATCGGCGTGTTTCAGAATTCTTATAGAGATGACTATTAGTTTGGCAATCCCTCTTGTGATTTGCATGTAAGATTCCCTCAAATTTGGTTTAGACAGCAGTCGGCCCACACCTTGAAAAACATAATGCAATTGTTTTAAGACCACCTTCACCTCTTGCTCACATTTTCTACGTCCAAACATTTAACTTCATTCACGTCTGACAACTGGTGATGGTCTTCAATAGTGGTTGGTGACTGAGACCACAGATATCTTATCACAGAATGTTAAGGAAATTGACATGAAAGCAGGCTTACCTTTGTTTAAATAAGTCCATAGAGACACATATAAACAACACAAAAGTAGAAATTTTTATGGTCACTGACCACTTTTTCAACCACTACTTGCTCTAGTCCTGCTTTCCTGTCAATTTCCTTAACAATTCCTGGTAAATGCCCAATCTTTATCAGATAATCAAAGAATGTGATTTTTAGTTGGTGAAAGCGTCAATTTTCTTTCACAATGTTTTCGAATACTGTGACGAGACTAATCGCCCATTAGGGCTAAGAATAGGCTGGAATAGTAGTGCTTAATGCATAGAGTAAAGAACATGATGTTGGTCTCAAAATGTAGCTCTCTTTGCTGCAACTGGAACTAGATGGAGAACTTTATTTATGGACAGCCCTCGAATAGGAATAATAATGTTGTCCAGCAATAAAACTATAATAATTGCAAATTCGCTGTAAGATTGTTTTGGTTACATATTGAGCGTAATTTGAGTGTGGACACGATTTAATTCAATTATAGTGTTTGATAGTGTTATGGTTTTGAGCAACAAACATTTTTGACTGGTCAATGTGAATGCAGCCTAACATAAAGATAGTTTGGTACTGTTTCAGATTTTCATTGCAGTGTATTTGTTTTGTATTAATCATTCCAATTCAACTGTAGGATATATTAACATTATGTATATGACACAAAAAAATGAAAAAGATGAAGATAAAGTTATTACAATATTAGACCTAGGCTTATAACATCATAAAAAGGTAATGATACATTTTCTTTTCTGTAATCTGTTACTGATTTTACATTACTCTCCATTAATCTGTACAATGCTCTAAACAGGCAATAATATTTCATGTAGTACCTACTTTCGTAGAGTTTCTACTGTAAAACTTACTTTAAAGCATATGCACACAATTTCTTAACATTTTTCATGTGCCGTTCTGTTTTTCAAACATAAGCGATACTACCATAATTGGGATGATAACAGGGTGAATTTCACATGTTTTATATCATGGGTGTTTTCTCTTCCTAGGTGAGGGTGGAGATTTTGTGGGATGGCAAGGTAGGCCTGAATACCAGTTATATCTCCATGTCTGTTGTCTCAATATTTATTTAATAGACTCACTCTAATCTTCATACATGTACATATTTTGTCAATGTTTTAGTTTGCTTTTACCTTCGGCTAGGGCCTCCTGTTTTTTCATTGGTGGCATTAGCAGTGCTAAATGGGCAAAGATGTTGTAAATGGCTTCATCACTTAAATATTATATACCTAAATTATATAAGTTTAAAATTATTTTTAAATATCCTGTAAGCCTGGCTGTAGCGTTGTCAAACTTTTTAGAAACTCAAACTATTTATTCCAACAGTCAGGAAATTTATCAAATAGTTGATCCAGAGTTTTTAACTCATTTTTTTATCATAGAGTAGACTTTTAATTTTAAGGATCACTTGTGTAGGTGTTGAAGCAATAAGAATTTTAATTCGTGCAGAACGAGTTGATCCCCCTGTATATTTAGTGTCAAAATAATGTTTCCATTTCAAACATGACTTTGTGATGTTTAGGGGATAGTGATTTATGAAAACTGAAGTTTACCAAAATTAATGCGTTTAAAAGAGGCCTTGAAATAATCGTGCAGTATTGTAATACAATATACTGCTCTACATCACTTAACTTAGACAAGGCCGCTGTCTCCCCCCCCACTTCCAGACTAGTACTAGTAGCCTACTTGCATAGCTATTCCCTGTCAACTCTTGTTTTGTATTCCTATTGTTGATCAATTGACTAGACATAGTGAACCTTATCTAAAGAGTGGTGTTGTAATTTTTTGAATTACGATAAGTCTAAGAGGCGGTTCACGAATACAGGGTTTCGTGCCCCGCGGTTATCGTTGATCTCAACCAATACTAACCGACGGCCAAAAAATGAGTTCATGACAGAGCGTTAGCCGAGATCAAGCTTAGCCGAGACCAACGCTAGCCGTCGCTCAACAGTAGGGATTTTACGGGGAACTTTCGTTATTAGGTTGGCAAAAGCCACATGGGCTACCTGCTGGGCCGCTGCTCGCGGTCGACGAGTCCCAAAACAATAGGATGACGTGATAAATGTATAATTATACAGGGTCTTAACTGATATTGTATAAAAGGTTGTGAACTTGCACTTAAATTCATTTTATACTAAAGTTTAAAGTTAATGGATTAATCATTGAATTATGAAATGAATAATACACTTTTACTGACATGTCATTGAATCGGGAAAATACAATTATGTTTTTAATAATTTTTTTAAAGAAATCCTCGTAATATTTAAATGTTTGCAAACTAAATTTTTATCACCAATTATGTTAAAATATAAGACATACTTATCACGTTTGCAGTTTTATCCAAACATTCAAAATATTTATTAAAATGACTGTTCTTTTCAAAGATTTATGATTATCTTTTTTGGATCAGTCATTTGTTTAAAAAAATAAATTTGGAGGATAACTCGCTATAATAGGAGTCGGGATGACCTCATATGTAAAAAAAAAATAATATAAAACGTAAATGTTTTTGTTTGAAAGTGATTGTAATATAGGTGACGTAGATATTTTTTTTATTGAAAAACAAATAAATATTGAACATTAGTAATAGGATAATTGATATTAGAATATTTCATTACTGATTGTTGCCTTGTGGTCCAAAGTATTGTCCTATACGAATCCGACGATGGCGCTCGTGCCGAAATGTACATAATCCACTAGGACAATACTTGGGACCACAAGGCTACAATCAGGTATTTTAACCTTTTATTTATTTGGCAATCAGTTGGTCCGGAATCGCCACAACAAAATATGAAATGTAGCTGATTTTGATTAGTCGGTATCGACTTACGGTATATCTGGAAAAAGTATAATATCAGTCTGGAAAACCTGGAAAAGTCAGGAAATTTTATTTTCCAAATTTAGTACTAATCCTGAATTTGTTTTTTTGTTATTTAATTTTAGGTTAAGTGATTCACTCCATGAAATATGGGAAATGTGTAAAATCTAAAACAAAACATGGGATGTAGTTGGTTTTTCATTCCTAGGTATGCAATATTTTACACATGTCACTATTTACCTAAAATTGTTGGAAGTATGAATAAAGGGTTAAGTTAGTTACTCGAGCACAATACACAGCTAATAATGAATGTGTAGGTGGACCGGGTATGAACCCACGAATGAACCCACCCAGAGGACCCGGAATGGTGCCCGGTTCATATGGCCCAGGACAGGGCATGCGAGGACCTCCACCTAACTCAGCAATGGGGCCCGGACCCGGGGGACCACCTATGGGCATGGGACCTGGGGGAAGGCCACAATGGCAACCCAACACATCTACTGTAAGTGTGATATTCTTATTAGAAATGCTAAATAATGCTACTTTATCATTAGAGTTAGGACCGTTCCTTATCTTTTTGGCAATAATAGGTGAATTAATATTATAATTTTGTCCCCTAATTAATTCAATTTATTTATTGCATTATTCTCCAGTACATTTTATTATTTCACTCGCTCGTTCTATCTGTTCACACTGAAATATAATATTGTTTTCACAGTAATCTATTATTTAAGTACAATATTATTTTGTGATGCTCGCTAGATAGGAAGACACTAAACAGGATAGTTATGTCACTCGCTTATTCTATCATTACTATTACCAGATCCTTGATTGTAGCCCATCTCTGTATAATCGCGTCAATTACATTTTCACATACATATATTTACACTATTTACATTGAGGTTAATTTATCAAATTAAAGACTTTCTGTTGCCAAAGCCGCAAGGAGCTCTCATAAGTCGGTGAAGGATTTTTTTAAATATTCTTCAACAGAGTAAAGGCTATTTATCTTTAGCCAATTCCCGACTCTTGTTTTAAAGTTCCCAATTGGGAGGATCATGACTGGTTGAGACAGAGAGAGCTTTAACACGTTAGCTGCCACGTCACCCCGATCGGGGTGCCACCAGTTGGCTCGTATGTGAGCACTGTCACCCCGATCGGGGCGACAGTTGTAATTTGTAAGGGTTTTTTTCTTTGCCGCTATTTGACAGTCTTTGATGTTCAATGGCAGTCAAACATTGTGGCTTATAAATACATACTCCAAGCTAACTAGATATCAATGTTATATTGCATTCTGATGTTTATAACATGCCCAAACTTACGTCACAAAGTACTGAAATGTTGTCACCCCGATCGGGGTGACGCTATTTTTTTTCAACAGTTTTATCTACTCTTTATTGAAATATGTACCATAAAATGACGTAACGTTTATCTTATTCAGTTGGTGTTAATATTTTATACGGGGTTTTTGTATCTTATGACTGAAATTATGTCCTTAACCAAAACATAAAAGTAAGTATTTGGGTTATACTGATGAAAAACAGATAAGAAAGAAAACAAACATATTTTTTAAATCTTTTATGTCAAACTGTAAACAATATTACATTGCTAAAAAAAACTAAATATATGTATAATAATGAATAATAACATGACCATTGTTGCTGTGCTCGCTCTCTGACATTGACAGGAGGGTAGGTTGAAAGTCAGGGTCGATGTCCATTTCGTCGTCCCTGTCTGACTCATCACTGTCTTTAGCACTACCGCCCAAAAAACCATCACTTAGATCTCCAAAATCTAGTTCACTTGACATTGGTAAACCCAAAAAACGTTTGATATCTTCATCACCAAGATTGTCACTCATATTGGACAAAAGCCACAACACACTATGAAAACCAACACGAAAACTAGGCTATAAATAGCTAAAAAGTACAACACAAGAAGAAGTAAACATAACACAGTCGAGTAATAAGCAGGTGTTGTTGTCTTCACACGCCAAAATGCCGCTACTGCCAACCGAACAAAATGAAATACATCCCAAATGGTCGAATTTCAGTGTCACCCCGATCGGGGTGACAGTGATTTTTTCCAGCAAAGTTTGACTGAAAACAATCACTGTCACCCCGATCGGGGTGACACTTTTTCCGCCATTTTCTTTTAGGTATTTGGACAGATAACATTATAACTAACCTAGATAAGTATAAATAACATCATATAACTAAAATACTACGTGAGCATATAGTTGGCAATGCAACAATCCCCTTCAAAAATAGCCCTGGCAGCTAATGTGTTAAACATCTTAGGGCAAGCACTGAGTAGCTATCTTTTGACAAACTTAGGCGACATTAAGGAATATGAATATTGGCTCTGTCATGAGTGTAGTACCGGTAGACCTGGTCTCTTGTTTTATAGTTTCCTTGATTCTCTTTGACCAGCAGCAGGGAATTTAAAACAAACTGACCGTGAACGGTAAATATGCCAAGTTCAGCAAACAGAAGTCGACAGTGCTCTGGAGTCACTGGATGTTTAAGTTCTTACGGCAATCTTCTGTTCCAAAGTACAATACCATATGTAAGATGACTATGGAATAGAGAGTAGTATACGATAAGCAGGTACGATGGTGTTACCAAATTTTTAAGTCTCCGAAGGATATAGTTTACTTTAGATAACTTCTTGCACACTACATCCACATGGGTAGGCCAAGATAATTTACTGTCTATATTTAGGCCTGAAATTGACTTCTATATTTAGGAATGAAAAGGGTTTAAAAACGCGATTGTTTGTGAATTATGTACAAAGGAATTTCCGTGTTTAAACTTAGGATTGCAAATCATTAAAAATGAAACACTGAATAATACTACAATAAATGGATTTGTAGAAAACTGATAATTCAGATTGTTCTGCTGTTTGCCTTTTAAACTTCAGACTTTGTTGTTTATTATTTATTAGTACTATATTGTTTTAACATTTCAATTATTGATTGAACCATTGATTTAAGGGTGATAAAAGTATTGATTGAAATACCTAAATTTGCATAACCTTAGTGCAAGTAACGTTGTTAGACAGGAAAAATTCAATACTAATACAAACACTAACCACAAGAGCAACATTTTAAATGACATTTTCGTTCATTTTATTGACTCAACCTCAAGACTTTTCTCAAAATAAACAACATTTTTATTTCAGGCTATGAGCTACTCCTCTTCATCACCCGGAAAATATGGGGTGAGTAAAGTATTGTATTAAAATGAATAATTATCAAAATTAATATTGGTAGTTATATTTTCTTAACAAATCATTATTTACTTGAACTGAGCTGTACTTCCAAAGGACATAGGATGGATATGGCTTGTTAATTGGTTATTTAGCGAATTTCCCTATAGGGAAGTAGCTATTACCGTAGGTGGCACGGTAAGACCTAGGCCCGGGACCGATTTACTTTTCCATTTTGATGTCCCCAGAGACCAAAAACACCATTAAAATTTTTATTCATGTATACAGGGTGTTCAAAAAAGGTAGGGACATATTTTACCTCGTGATTCCTTGGGTCAAAATAAAGAGAAAATCAGGAATAACATTCTTTCAAAAATCGCTTCGTTAACCAGAAATCCGCCATTTTGTTTTTTTTACATAACAATTTTTTCTCTTAATATTTTCAACCGATCTTTATGAAACTTGGTTAGGTATAAGAGACTCGTGTTAGAAAAAAAGTTCATCTCGATTCAACCTAAAATTTCAAAATGGCGGCCATTTAAAATTTTCAAACTTAAATTACTAGAAAATTGCTGGTTTTATGAAAAAATGTTAAGGACACTTTTAATTAGCATTTTTATTCATCTATCAAACGATACAAAGTTCAGAAAGATCGAATATGAAATAGCTGAAATATTAAGACTTTTAGTTGTAAAATGGGGTAGAATAAGGCAGATGCTAGTCAGGTTTGCCACATTTTACAACTTAAAATATTACAGAGAATATTGTAAAATGTTGTAGTTTGCTTGTTTATAGATATATTTTGATAAACTTGGAAAAATTTATTTATTTTATACTAAGCTATTTATATTTTACTAAAAAAACACACTTTATTAGTTTCCTTGTACAGTAGAGTCCCGCAAACTCGGCGTAATGTGGACTGGAAGGGTGCCGAGTTTGTGAAATACCGGGTTATCAGGAACTAGGGTTAAAAACAAGAACAATACAATTTTTAATCTTATTAACTACTTCTTTAATTTATATTTATATTACAAGTTAGTATTAAGTCATCAGATATAGTAAAACAAATCATTTATACGAGCTGAGAATGATTTGACTTGAGCTGGCTTGAGTCCATGTTTAACTCGGACTCAAAAAATCACTAATTTTCTGAGCCAGGTGATGGCCGAGTTATCCAGACTGCCGGGTTATCGAGTGCCGAGTTTGCGGGACTCTACTGTAGTAGCAAACCTAGGTACTCGTTAAACCTAATGTTATTTAAATAGATTTAATTGAAAATCGATTTAGACGTCATGGAAATTCGCTTAGTCGGCAGGTTTGCTGCGGCTGGTGTGTATTTTTTTCCTCTTGGATCATTCTTATGTAATATTTAAGAATGGAGATGGAATCCTAACCCTGGATCTAGCCAAAGAGACAAGATGTCTACCTCACTAACAACACTTATCAACCAATAGTAATTCTAAACTTAACCCCGAGGTTTCAGCAGCAGCACACTTGCATAGATAGTTGTAAGAGGAAGTTAATATATTTTATACATATCCGACTGAGCTTAAAAGGTTTAACTTTGGGGTCGGATCCATTTTTAAATTAATAACTACTACATATTGTTGTTTTGTTATATGGATTCTTTGTAATGGATTTGTAGTCTTAATAGAAAGTTAAAATTATCCCTTTGACGTATTTCTAGGGTCCTCCAGGAGGTTCTGCTCCACCAGGCCCCGGGACTCCCATATTGCCAAGCCCTCAAGGTATGTTTGAGAAACAGTTATCGAGTTATGCTAAATTTCATTACTGGGATCTAGACATTTCAATTGTGCCGTACCCGTCACCGTTTCATATAAAGTGCGCATATACCCAGCGCGCAAGCAAAAAGTACTGGTCAAAATCCCTTTCAGTCTGGCTACAACCAATGTCAGACTGAATAGCGCTCCAGAAGTTAATAGGACTAAAGCATAAAGGGTGTACAGACTTAAGAGGTAACAACTTAAGAGTCTTAAGACTTTAAGACTTAGAGGTTTAAGAGGTAACAGACTTTTTACCTCTCTCGGCCTCTCCCCACTCCAGCGTCGGCGGCCCTCTAGGACATCTTAGAACTATTCTCGATTAGTATTTAAATAAAACGTGTTAAATTATTGGGTTTGGACCAAATCGTAATTATGGTATAGTTTAACCTTAGTTAGGGATTGGTGGGGAGAAAGCCAGGGGCTTTAGGATGTAGTTTTGGATTTTAAGACGTCGGTTTTGCCTAAAGGGAAACCAAAACAAAATCACATGGCACTAAATTGTTCAGTTGTTCTCAGCTGTCAATCCGAGTAGTTTATTCCTTCATAACATAACCTCAGTCAGTACATAGCTCAGTCAGTAGTATGACAGACTGTTAAACCACGGTAGCAAGGTCTTGGGTTCGTGTCTCTATACCCGTACTTAAAATTTTCAAGTACAGTTCATTCTTGTTCGCCCCAGCTCATTACTTGCTTTGCTTGATACGTTCCACTCACAGACTTTTGAAGCCCATGTGGACAGGCAAATGCTAGGATAAAACAGGCAGCCAAATTCTTATAAAAGAAAAGAAAAAAGATTTAATTGTTAGTATTCATTGTGGTATAGTTGGTTTGCTACACCTGATATCTGAAAAAAGTTATAAATGCTCCTCAAATCTTCATTAAGCAAGTATAGTTTCCCAAAGTTTCACAGTGGTTGGATGGACAGTTTGATAATACCAAAGGACATTTAATTGAAGATTTTGTGTATAAATAATACACATTTTACTTAAACACTTTTGTGAATATCTACAGGATTTTCTGTTCATCTTGTCTCAACAAAATGTTTATCCTTAGGTTCAGTCGGTCCATACTCCCCTGCTAGTCATCGAATGCCCACCCCCAGTCCAGTAAATCGTCAAGGTATGTATTCACCATTATGTTCATATGGTGTTGTGTCATATGGGTATTGTTAAAAGTTGAGTGTTCAACATTATGTTTCAACTTCAGACATTATTTAAATTAGTTTCATTAAATACAGGGTGTCCCGGAACTCTCTACCAATATTTTAGGGCATTGTTCCTGGGTAGTTAACATACCTAAATATCATATTCAAATTTTCCAGAAGTCCTTAGTTACTCACACAGCCGCCATTTTGTTTTTTTAAGTTATTAATTTTTTCTAAGGAATGGTTAAACATACGAAATTGAAACTTTGCACAAACATTTATGACAACTAGACAAAGCTACCAAAAAATTATGAAAATTTTTAATATTCATAAAACAAAATGGCGGCCATTTTAGATTTTGTTTCTTAAATAACTTGAAAACCGTTGATTTTACAAAAAGTTTACAAGGATAACTTTTTTAAGGAAATTTTATTACAAATCGATTGACACCTTAATTTTGAAGATCGGACAAGTATTAACGGAGATATGGTAGTTTTAGTGATACGTGACCGCTTTCAGCATGCGCCGCAACTAACCTCCAGCGGTTACGTATCACTAAAACTACCATATCTCCGTTAATACTTGTCCTATCTTCAAAATTAAGGTGTCAATCGATTTGTAATAAAATTGCCTTAAAAAAGTTATCCTTGTAAACTTTTTGTAAAATCAACGGTTTTCAAGTTATTTAAGAAACAAAATCTAAAATGGCCGCCATTTTGTTTTATGAATATTAAAAATTTTCATAATTTTTTGGTAGCTTTGTCTAGTTGTCATAAATGTTTGTGCAAAGTTTCAATTTCATATGTTTAACCATTCCTTAGAAAAAATTAATAACTTAAAAAACAAAATGGCGGCTGTGTGAGTAACTAAGGACTTCTGGAAAATTTGAATATGATATTTAGGTATGTTAACTACCCAGGAACAATGCCCTAAAATATTGGTAGAGAGTTCCGGGACACCCTGTATATCTTTGTTTACGTATCCATTTCCACTCTCACATTACAGTTATTTAAAAAAAATTTACATCCACTTCAGACATTCTTAAATCTATAACAACTAAAAGACACTTTACTAACTTATAATATCTATCATATTTTAAAGTTACCTTTTAACCCATCTCAGTAAAAAACACTACGTCAACTAAACATAGAGAGTAAAGCATATGCACTCAACTTTTTGTATTAAAAGTGCCTGAAAACGAAAATGATGACATTTAGAAATGTAGTTTATATGCTGTATTGTACTACAGCTTATTGTTTATTGAATTCTCTTAATTGAGTGTATAGTTAGACTTGTCCATTTAGTTTCATCAGTAAACGAGTTAATTTACACCAGCCAATTTTGAGTGGTTTCGCAATAGTTATTACTGTTATTTTTCTTATGTTACATATGTATTACTAATATACCTCTTAGGCTTTTACGGACCATTTCTTAATTAATTCATGGATGTGAATTGCCTTATAGACTCCACAATTCATGGATTTATTTTTTTTATTTGTTATGTGACTTAACATTTAGGGATAGATAATCATGTTTAACTATCAGTTCATTTATTTTCATTGGTTGAATTTGTGTACAGTCATTGAAGTCATAGCCTCCACTAACACAAGCCCGCAGCGAACAATGTGGCAATGTTGCACTCACTTGCCTACTGCCACGGTAGCATTGCACATCCGCTCCATATGAATTAGTGGTACAGCTGTTTGGGTAGACTGGGACTGCGGCGTGCCACTTGTGTTTTGCCGTGGCCTTGTAGAGGAGGCTCCAGTAAAGTAAAACCTAAACAGCTAAGAAATGTATGTGAACCTGTGTACTTCGTTAATGAGTGAATATCAGTTAAGAAATTGATTTTTTTAGGATGATGTTGATTTTTTATCACGATTCTAGATACCACCGATACATTGGCATTGGTGTTAAGAATCAATTCCGATACCGATACCCGAAACGTCTGCAAAGATTGCGCGATCGAAAAATTACTGCGGTTTTGGTGGACAATGATATTACCATGACCGAGGGAGACGATGATTATGTCTACATGGCCATGGGAGATGATCATGGTTTTGCCACGACTGCGCAAAACGATGATGTTGTTGTAGCCGCTGGAGACGATGATGATGTCTGCACGACCCCAGGGAATGATCAGAATATTACCACAACCGCGAGACGATGATAATGTCTACATAATCAAAAAGACGATAATGATATCCAAACAGCTGCAAGATTGCAGAAGACTATGATAATGTCTGCATGACCGTGGGAGATGTTTGTGATTTTGTCCTGATCACGGGAGAAATTGTTAACGTTACCGCAGAGCAATATTCAGGATTTTGGCTTGACTGGGAAAGACAGTGATGACATTTCGGTGACTGAGGAAAATATTCTGGATTTTTCAGTGATCCCAGAAGACAACTATGATGTCTCCACAACCGCGGGATATGTTCACGATATTACCTCGAGTTTGGCTTGACCAAAAATAACACCTCTATTTATAGTAACTTTTTCTTTTTGATTTTTTGTTAGATCTTTATTTACCTTTGATAAGGTAGTCATTTAATGTGTTAAGAATGGTTAAAACTTGAATTGGCTATATTTAGAATTTTTCATTGGTGAATTAATTTTTTTCTTTATTTAAAAACACTTTGGATAAACATAAAGACAGGGGTTGGTGTAGTATCCAATCCATTCAGATAATTCGGTAAAACTATAAAAATAATGGTATCAGTATCGAGAATCGGTGAATTTTGTATCGACACATCACTAATTTATTTGGATTGTGAGAAAATGCTAACTTAAAAATATTAATGATTACAGATCCTTCAAACCCAGGAGGAGAAAACATGTACACAATGATGAAGTCAGTACCTGGGGGATCCATGCCTGGGGTAATGTTGTTATTGTTGTTGTTGGTGTATAATGTTGAGGTGTTAATCAGTATTTCTCTTGTATAACTTAGTTGGTATGTTGTCAAACTAATCTTTGGTATCAACGTGTTAATCGCCATTTTTTTCAATTTGAGAACATTATAAACTGAAAATGTTGAATAATAATGGTTAGTAGGTCAATTAGGTATAATAGGTGGTTCGTAGTATAATAAGGTTATTTCTACGGTGGATTCTATAAGAAGACCCTCGATAACAAGTCCCCCTTGATAACAAGTGTCATTTTCAAATCCCCTTGAATTTATTTGACCTCAAATCACATGTTATTGCAAACCTCAATAAGGAGTCTACATTGATAACAAACAAGTCTCTTTTAATAATCCCCATGAGAGTCTTTTTATCAAGATTCTACTGTATCTCAGAAAAAATTTTCTTTCAATTTTATAAGGATTTCGTGAAGGATTGGTTGAACAGCAGGCTTACTTAACTAACAAAAATATATGATAATGCACAAATAAACACTTCAGTAGTAGTCTTTATTTGAAGAAGGAGCTACTAGCTACAAATGTCCTGTGTTTAGTAATTATTTGTGCGTTTTAGCAAGTCTGGTGTTAAACCTATCCATTACAAAATCCTTAAAAACCCTGGCCTAAAGCCATCTTGACGAATTAACAATAAAGAATATTGTATTGTATCTTTATCAAGAACATCATTTTTATTCAAATTGTTCTTTTTAGTACAGTAACATCCCGCTATTCCAAACCAACTGTGACTTTTTGGATTTTCTGATATTCGGAATAAGCAGATTTATTTAATAATATCAACCAACATATATTGATGGAGAAATAGTTGCGATCGCGGTTGATGTTTGTGTGGCAGCGATCGCAAAAGATGTTGGTGTTGTGGCTATCATTAAGATAGATGGTGAAAGTGTTGCGGCGTATTGTCCACATAGACATAAGTAACTTCGTAAATGTTTAATGTTAACTCTGCTGACATTTGTGGATTTTTCACCATATTGTACATCGTATCGTATGGCATAATTGCAAATTTTGCTTACATTCATGGTATCCCTTACCATTCTTGGAAATATGGCTAGCTGGCTGACGTTCGTGACATCATAACTTGACTCTAGGTAATTCAGGCAAAGTCCGTAACATCGCCAACATTTGTCAAGAAAGTGGCAATATTGCTAGCTCCTTTGACGTTCACGGTGACATAGCAGAATTTATTATACAAAAGATAAAAAAAAAACAGATTTTCCAAATAGTGTGGTTTGAAATAGTGGGACTCTACTGTCCTTGCTAATTCTACTAACATGGTTGCAAATTGTAAACAACATTTTCAAATACATTGAATATGTGAATGTGTACTGAATATCTGCAAAAATAATGTTTAAACCTCTTATGTATTCTCTTGGATTAAAATCGACTGGCGTCAACATAAAGGCACCTTCAAATCTAGGAGATGATAGAGATTTTAGAGATGTATTATCTATACATTCTCATTCCAGGCAAACAATGAATCAATTTACTTTAAGATCAAATATGTTGATATTATTATGAGCGGATGAGTTAGGAAAAAAGTAGATACTATGATTAGCAAAGTATTCAAGATTTTTTAAATAAAATTGATTATAGCCTCCTAATTAACCCATTGGGGAAGGAATTAATGCGCTGCCTGCAGCACCCTCTGTCGGCAATTAATTTTACCGAATTTGTAGACTTAAATTGTTATAGAAAGAAAACCTTAGGTAGTAAATTAATAATTCTTTTGCCATTTTGTCCACAGTAAAATTGTCTAAATAAATGTGGTAATTGGATAGTCAGAGTGTCAAATAAAAAATAAAAAATTATAAAGATTCTAAAAATAAAAATCATTAAAACAATTTTTTGAAATTAAACTTGATATACAACATCCAAGATTAATAACACCAAATGACACTACTATGATAAAGTTCAATTGATTCCCTACGTAGAAAAATCACAAGTTGTGTTCTTTTATAAGTAATAACATAGAAAATCTTTTTTGTTTTACCTTACAGTAGCTGATTTTTTGTGATATCCGGTTTCCATGGCAACATAACATTGTTTGTTATTCGCAAAATAAATGAGTAAATATTCAAAACAAGAAGCAAGATATTTATAAACATAATAAAAGTAACAATAATTAAATAAAAAGGGGGGAGATAATAATAATAAAATAACTAATGGCGCTGCGTAGTGGTGACACGTGCGGCATTCGTAAATCAGCTGCCGGGAGAAGGCAAATTATTCATCCACACACAATAGAGTTGTACAAAATGGTGGCTTTAAATGATTTACACTCTACCTAGTGAGAGGATTTTTGGAGAAAGGACAAAATATTGTGTGTTCTGTGTTTTCTATGTGTACTATGGCCTCCCGGACTTTATATTTCCCCTTATTTCACAATACTAGCCTAGAACCTCTTCTTGAATAAAAGTAAAATAAAATTGAGTAAACTAAATTTAATAACCGATAATTATATTTGCAGGAGTTTGGAATGGGAGGTAATGGACCAGGAAATGACGGTCCTGTAGGAGGTGGAATGGGTGTGGTTATGAACGGAGACGGCAATTCACCAGCAGGGCCAGGCCCAGGCACACCTAGGGATGACTCTGGCGGAGGTATGGGGGACTACAACTTAGCAGGCTTCGGACCTACGGATAACGTCAACATGGGTGTACCTGCCTCTTTCTTCTCTGACAGCAAATTGGGAACTAAAGTTCCAGAAGAATGGTGAACTTGTATCGCTCTAGTATGTGTGTATTTATTTGCTGACAACCATTGCTTTGGACTGTCCCCTACTAGACAGCATCACTTTTGATGGACACGGTTCCGTTAAATGTAGTGCTCTCCTTCCAGATTGATTTGAACATTTCATTTGAAAGAAAAGGGAACCAAAAATACACATTCAATACTATGTGAGGCCTCTTATTTTTTAGTGAAAAGAGTTGAACATGTGGTTATGTTTGAATCTATATAGCCTACGTAATATAATAAGGGTTTTATCTGTAACATCCATTTCCTCCCGTCCTAGTATACTGTTTTTTTACAATTGAGGTGTCATTCAAAGGGCTTGTAATCTAGCGCAGGTACGAACAGTAATTAAAAGGCAATTTCATTTACGGTTTCATTCCCCTAGCCCTTTATTTCAAAATGGAGATTTCAGGTTTCACGTAAAGCTGAACAACTTGCTATATACCGTTTGAATATGTCAATCGTAATTTAATAATGATTACTTTTAGTTAAATTTTAACCACAGTCAAATGGCTGTAATTAAGAGGCAAAACATTTTATGAAAATTTATTTTTAACTGTACTTTTATTTATAGTGATTGAGACAGTTAAATCACTCTTCATGGTATTGTTTGGCAATCAATATATTTTTTATATTTTTAATTACTGAATATTTTAATCTAATAATTGTCTTAAAAAATATTTATAATATAATTTTAATATGATGATGTGTTTCTATGTTAAACTTTTACAGCTACGAATTGATTTAAAAAATAAAAAAGCATAACTGCATTTCCATTACCAATTATATAAAGTGTTGAACCATATTAAAATAGGCGCTGTGCACAAATCCTCTCTTTTCTGTTTAGGAGAAGAAATATATTTTTATTATTTTTCTATATTAAACTATCTTCAAAAATGTTTTCTAACATTCAAAAACTGTCCAATTTTTCTTTAGGAAAATCTATTATCACATGGTTGTGAAGGAAATCAATATATTTTTTTCTCTCTGTATTATTTTTGTATCATTAAATTTATTTATGGATATTATTATTTAGTATAGGCTATGGCTTTTTGCTGCTATGATCTAGTTTGTTGATTTTAGAATCTCAACCTCTTAACATCCTCAATTCAGCAAACCTGACTCTCAGTGCAATTTTATTATCTATTTATTGGAAAAGAAAATTTATAACAACAGACAAAATATCTTGAAGTGGATCGTTTGTTGGTTCTACCAATTCTCAGAACTTGGTACTGTGAAACTTAGAAAAGAGTGTCCGGTATATTTACCAATGCCAATAATTACTGTGATATTTGAATCATAACGGTATTAAGCATGCCAACGCCAAACAAACAGTTTAAAAAATGCATTATTGTACACCAAGATATTGGATTATACACACAGTAACTAACACATAAATGCCGCATTGGCTTACTATTACTACATCGTTGTTAGTGTGGTACCAGATCTGATTCATTTCAGCTCTTACATCACAAATTTTCTAACATTTTAAATAGTTGTAAAATAAAATTTCCTGACTACAGATTTGCTGAGATGAGAATATTTTCATAAGAAAGTGTTTTAACTTTAATTTTATACAATCAAAATGCATAATATTTCAACTTTTGACATAATTTCTATATTTGAGATATTTGTGATTAACATAAAAACAAGGCAATATGTTTGTGCCATATCTAGTTATATAAATGAAAGGTTTTATAGACAAGATGTGTAATTGATCGCATGGTTGTGGGTTATGTTGATTATTCTGTACTCATGGGTGATCAGGGTATCTTCTTGCCAACTGGTTCAGGGATTATGCTTAGTAGATTACATAACTATAATTATCTGTGTGATAAAATGACTGACCATCGAATAATATAAGACATGATTAACAATAATTGATTAGTTTTCTACTAAAATCATAAAAAAGCTTAAAGTTCAAATTATTTTTTGTAGTATGTGTAATATTGTATGTTTGTTTAAATTATGTAGAGAGCTACAAACTAATACATAATATAAAAAAATAACCTAAAATGTTATATGTTGGTATGCAGGCTGTAATGATTTTTTTTAGTTTTATTTATTTCACATTACTAAACAACTTGTATATTTTATCACAAAGCTAGTTAAAAGTAAATCAAGGAAAATATGGGCCCCGTAATAGTAAGATCAATAATTGCTTCTATGTTTATCTTTCAGTGTTGTTGAGGTGCATTCTTGGAGTAAATATAAGCCAATTTTGAACTTTGTCTTTAGGTGCTCACAAATCTTTATGTGTTTAAGCAGTTTTTCACTACTTGTGATTATGGGCTTTAATATGTTGTAATTTAGGTTTTATAGTGCTTATTTAATTCGTAGTAAGTAATAGTAAAGAACATGTATCAAGTTAAATAGTAAGCAGGTAACCTTTTTTCAATTTTATAACTCTTCTTGGTGAAGTCTATGAATTTGTACCTCATCAAAAGATTGTGTTCTTAGGATACAAAGAATGTCAATGAGTGCCTCAATGACAAGAAAGAGGAAGACAATTCCCCAAAACGAAAAGAAAGGTTACCTGCTTGTTTTATGTAAGTTGTATTTTTATCCATCAATTAGGGTTGTGTAAGGTGGATTACTTAGACAGTACCTCACCTTTTCCACTTAATAGGTTGTAACTACGCAGTATTCTAAAACTCGAGGAACTCATTTTTGTGCCATATAACTCTGTGTTCCTCGAGAAAAGTTTGAAGGAATTTATTTATTTACATTATATAATTTTGTTGTTTTGTTATTTCTGCACATATGTACATATTAGGTATACATAATTTTCTCAAATACTCATTTGTTAAGTTAGTTAATAAATAAGTTAGTTTTAAGGAATCGTGTCGGTTGTCAAAGGGGATGGTGTAAGCTAATGTGTAATTTCATAAAATTAACAAATCAGAACAGGGTATTCATTACAGTTTGTTGATTTCTTACTGTTTAGGTGTTTTTTTATGTTTTCAGCAATGCTGAGAAAACACAACATATTTTGTGGCACCCTGTTACTTAACAAACATTTTTGAATGATTTCACTACAAAATGACTTGCTAATTTGTATAACAAGGAGTAACATTATACCGTCAATCTACTTTCCAGCCCTCATATTTTGTTATCGGGAAAGAATATTTTTTGTGGATTGATCTCAACATTGCTTTAGAATCCTTGCCAACTGTTTACCATCACAACTAGGCCTAACCTGATCTCTGCTTCTACTGCAGGCCCTCCGCTCTAGTCTGGCTGTCCTTTTGTCATAAAAAATGTACTTTTAAATGTTAATGGTACTTATTCCCTAAATGGGATATTTTCTAAAAAGGCCCAGTCTTTTCTATGCCATTAAAATGCTGTAAAGCTGGAAGTAAGTAATCGTCACCTTTTCTTACTTGTTTCAGTGATGAATTACCTTAACTCATAGTTTTCAAGAATACTGCCAATTGAAGTTTTCAAATTGTTGAATGTTGGAAATACTAGTCTTAATAATTATTTTTACCAATCGAGAAATTATTATGTTACGCGTATTTTTAAAAATCATTTTAAAATCTTTAACTAGTAACTTTTCCCAATCAAACCAATTTTGTGGAGGCTTTTGGTGTCCACAATCGACAAGCACTCAAATATTGTTAGCCAATTAACATTAAGAACTCTAAACATCATTAAGAAATAACAGAGTTAACATCACATTTGAAATCATTTAGTTATTTTTATGTTGACCTAGCATTTTTGTCTGTACACTTAGGAATATGCAAGTTCAATCGCTTTTACATTAATAAGACTGTGTAATGGTTGTTAATTCATAATTAAAATCTTTTAGTTAGTAAGTATTTGTTACTTGTTTAAAATGTGGGGTTTTGGCTTTTTATTTAGATATCTAGTAAAAATATGTTTTCTGTCTTTGATTTTCATCTGTGGGTTTAAAAAATCTAATGACCATCTTCATATTGTGGTGCCAGTGCAATTAACACTAATAAAATACAGTTGCTCAAAAAATCAAACTGCTGTTAGGTGTTACTCCAATCAATTTCTAGAAGTCTTTTTTTTTGTTTTAAACTCCTCATTGTACTTGTATATTGAGTAATAATTATAAAATATGAACTATCGATGTAGCTATTTTTGTAAATGTGATGTTATAAAACAAAAGTTATCAGGCAAGCTTAGTATATTATTTGACTTTTAGGAGTAAGTTAGGCTGGCACCTAAATCTATGTTCTATTTTTTAAACCATTTCCATGAATACTGCACTGTTTTAATGAAGTTTTTCATTTAAGAAAATTGTTTGCCCTGATTTGTTGTTTGATGAGGTTTCACAACTTTTATGACACTTGCCACAATTTTTATTTTGAGATCTGCCTAGTCCTATAAGAGTATGTTTTCTGTTATCTTTTTGAATGTCAATTTACACATTCATATGTCACAAACTCCTTGTGGAGAATATCCTTATTAATGTGTTGTAATAATTTGTACTTATCTCATTTATTTTTCTTGTATTGAAAGAATCTTTGATCCTGAAATGTATGTTTTTACGCTATTTAGGGTAAAGAAATTATATTTTGAAAAACCTTGTGTGTTTTTTATTGCTCCAAAATCACCAGTATCTATGTAAATACATTACTGATGTAAATTATATTTTTATGCTTTGATTGTAAATAATTTTCTAAGAGGTATTTTATTATTCTTATTATTGTTAATAAAGCTGCTAGATTTGTTTTACTTGGGGACTACTATACTGTAAAATTAGAAAAAACGCAGCAAAAGTATTGAATGTGACACTTAAAGTTTCAGTTTAGCCAGTATAACTTGTGTTGTAATTATACCAGGTGTCCCATAATAGACCCCCCCCAGCTTAATTTTTGATTACTAGTTTGGTTATGTAAAGTACTTTTTGGTGATATTTTGAAATTCACCCCCACCTCCAAATAGGGGTTGCTGGGCTTAAAACTTTTAAATAGCAACCCCTATCAAGTAGCTCATCATTTTTAAAACTTTAAAATACCCCCGCTGCAGCAAACATGCCAACTAAGAGAATTTCCATTTGCCTGGATTGATTTTCAATTAATCTAATCAATTAACATTTATGTTTGACAAGTACCCAGGTTTGCTGCTACAGTGAAAATAATAAAGTGTTTAATGGCATTTTATTAAAATGTTAATAGCTTAGTATAAAATAAATAAATCTGCCAAGTTTGATCAAAATATATCCATAAACAAGCCAACTACAACATCTTACAATATTCCATAAGAATAACATGGGAATTTTTAAATGAACGATTTTATTTTTTATTTTCTCCATAACCAATAACCGTAGAAAACACTAAGTTATTTGTGTTTTTAAGCTATTTTAAAAGGTCTGGAGAAAAATTGACAAATTTTGTGTTTTAAGAGTAAAAATTAGAAAACCCCAACTTTTCCCATTTTGGAGTTAATCTAGAACTTTTCATTCCATCCCTTTTTTTTAATGGCTATAAATTGTCAAATCACCTTCAGTACACGTGACCAGGGGGATGTCACATACTTTTTAACATGATTTTGAATTTCACCACCCACCCCCAAATATGGGTTGCTGGTGGGTTTTTTTTATGTTTTTTTTTATATGACTACCAACTTTAGAAAT